GTATTCGCCAAGCTGTTGCTACTAATGCAACGGCCACGTAATGAAAACAAAACAGCGTGTCTGTTGGGAATAATAAAGTTCCTGCTGCGAGCTGCAGTGTCCCCCGCGACCTGCGTTGGTTCGCCTGCATCGCCCAGGCGCTGCGACGTTGCTCGCTGCGACAGCCCACGGCCTGGTGCTGCGCTGGCAACTGGATGTGCCGCGGCAACTCCAGCATCTGCAAACACCGCAGCAGCAGCAGCGTCGAGCTCTGACGACCCCACATCCGCTGCCGCTGCTGCTGCAACTCTTGCTGCTGCGCTGCCGTTGCTGCTGTTGTCCCTCCTGCAACTGCTACTGGCGCCCAAAGCCCCTGGGATCCCGGGCAGGTTGTCACTCTTCGTGACACACAGCAGCAGCGGCAACGATTCCTTTGGCATGACGCAGCGGTTCCTCGCAGCAACTGCATAAAGGTGGCTCTCCTCTGCACTTAGTGGCAGCTTCTGCTTTAGCTGCTGTCTTCGCTGTTGTTCTTCCAGCGAATCGCCGGTCAAGTGACGCAGCCATTGTCGGACGCTTACAATCGTTAGTGATCCAAGCTGAAGACTTTCGGCTGGAGGCCACTCTGCAGCACCAACGGCAACTGCATTGCCAGGTCTGTCTGCTTCTGGCGGTGCTGCCGTGTCTGACTTTATGCGGTCGCTGTCCCTTCGCAGAGCAGTAATGCTACTGCTGCTGCCGTTTCTGCTGCTACTGCTTCCGCTCCTGCTGCTGCTGTTGGACCTGCGAGGCTGCGGCCGCGCAATGGGAAGGACGACACGGGCAGCAACGCCAGCCGCACCTGCACCTCCCTTCGCCGCTGCCAGTCTCTTGCTGCTGCGTCTCCCTGACGGCGTCGGACTGCTCTGCAACCCCGCAGAGCCTCGTTCTCCTGCCGCTGCTGCTCGTAAGGGCCGTTTGCACCGGAGTGGCTTAGCTGCTGTTGCTGCAATTGTTGCCTCCGTCGTCGACATTCGCCTTGAGGTACCCCTGCCTTTTGCTACTGCTGCCGTGTTAGCACTATCTTCCGTCTCTATTCCACCAGAGGAATCAGATACCTCCTCTTGTTGCTGCTCTTGCTGTCGACGCTGCGCATTCGCAATCAAATCCCTTCCAGGGGTCCCCCCCTTGCACCCAGCTGCGGCGCAGCAACTGCAACCGTGGTCACTACTACTACTGCTCTCGGGGATAACCCGGAGCCACATCAAACTGCAGCCATCACAATGCATCCGCGAAGGA